CCCCCCCCCCGCCCCCCCCACCCCACCCCTCCCCCCCCCGCCCCCGGGCCCCCCCCGGGCCCCGCCGCCAAGCCCCCCGCACCTTGCCGCTGGCCGTGCCGCCGCTGACCCCGATGAGGAAGGGCTCGCCGCCGCTGGGCTGCCCGTGCTCCTCCAGCCTCTGCTCGCTGTCCCCCGCCATCCTCCCCTGCTCGCAGCAGCAGCGCCGCCGCCTCGCCTCCTCCGCCTTCGCTCTCCGTGCGGGGCTGGATTTATCTGATGAGTCAAGGGCCTTCCTCTCCGCCTGGTTCACATCCCCGGCGCTGCGGCTCCCTGCCAGGTGCCTGCCGCAGCTGCACATGCTCCGGCCCAGCCTGCCGGCGGCGGGCGGCACGGCACGGCACGGCACGGCGCGGCGCGGCGGCCACATGGGTCCGCACCTCGCCGCCGCCCTCCCGCAGACAAAGGCGATGCGGCCGCCCGATGCCCCGGCCCTCGCTCCCTCTCCCCGCCGGCTCGATTCGCCCCTCTGCCCGATGAGTCCCGCTGCCCGCTCGCCATCGGCCTCCAGCGAGCGCTGGGACCACACCAGTGTGGTCCCCAGCAGGATGCCCGTTATACGTCCCCCACCCTGGCTTCTCCCGCCCCACCCGGGCCCTGGTCCTGCGAGCACTTAGGAACGCTTATTAACGACCCAAAAACAGGAATAAAAATGATGCTTAAGTCTTTTGCCAAATGGGACCCGTCTGGGAGGAGCTGCGAGCGCTCTGGAGGACAGGATTCAAAGTCAAAATGCTCTTGACAAAATGGATAAAGGCTCAGCAAAACGTAGGGTGCAAGTCCACGCAGGCAAGTGCCAAGTAGTGTACTTAGGTAGGAGTAATCATCCGTGAAAACGCAAGGTGGGAACCTGCTGTCTAGCCAGCCCTTTTACAGATAAAGATCGGGGAGTACAGGGGATCAAAGAGTCAGTGCTGCGCTGCTGTGAAAAAGTCAAACATCCCACCACATTAGGAACACCTAAACGGAGGCGGGACGCGGTAGCTAACCCTCTGCTGGGTACCAACGCCACTGGGTACCGTGTTTCGGGAAAGGTGAGGCTTGATGGAGAGACTCCAGCGGGGTCTCGGGAACAGCCTGGGGTCTGGCTTCGCAGAAGGACCGCAGGAACCGTGCGTGTTTAGTCTGGGGAAGAGATGGCCGCGGGGACACATGATAACCGTTTCCAACTACATAAAAGGCTGCAACAAACAGGAGGGGAATACATTTCTCTTACCCATGGGGATTAGAACAAAATGTTGCCAGCTCAAATTGCAACAAGGGCAATTCAGGATAGATATTCAGGGACATTTTCTAAGTGTGAGAATGGTTAAGTCCTGGACTAAGTTGTTGAAGGAGAAATAAGGACTCTCCACCACTACGGATTTGAAAAAAAAGCACTAGGCAAGCTCCTGTATAGAAAGTTTTTAGCAGAGTTGATCCTGCGTTGGGGCAGGAGATGGCCTAAGCAATGCCCTAAGGTTCCTCCCAGCGCTGTTTGTAGGATCATAAGTTTCAGTGAGGTTTTTAACTTCCCCCTTCAATACAGTGAAACAGGTGTGGAAATGTTTGCCAGACGGAGTCCAGCGTCCCAGCCCTCATCACGCAGGATGTGAGAGAGGATCTCCTGGGAAGGCGTGGCCCCTCTCTGCCCACCGCTCCCAATTCCCCTCCAACCGTGCCCCCATGGGCTGCGGCTTGTGGCACCGGACCATGGCTCCGCACGCAGCCCGTGCCAGGGGAGGAAGTGCTATATGCGGACAAGAACTTCCTGCGGGGATGAATTCCAGCAGATTCCCACGGCCCCATGCCAGTTTCCAAGTGCTGACCGTGGGCACGACTCCTACGCACACCGCCGGGCCCCAGGAGCTATTCACAGCTCTTCTTTCTTACCCCCACAGCGACACACCCGCATCTGAACGGCAAAACCCCCTCAGCGCGTCGTGACCTCGGGGTTATTTTGTTCTCCTCGTGCCTACGCTCACCACTGCTAGCCTCTCTGCTGCCCTGCTTGGGGACAGATCAAAACCTGTGTGCTGAAGCTGTTCCAGACTGTGCTGTCCATCGACCTCAGAGCTGAGCGTCTCTGCAGGATGCCCATCGTGGCATTTCATCTCCAGTTCCCCTTTTAAACCAGATGCTTGACACGTGGCAGGAGCAGACACACTTGTAGAGGGAAGGACAAGTAAACACCTCTTGATGGGCCCTCGAGGAGTACGAGCTAAGGATATTCAAGGCTTATTTATATAGAACGCAAGGAGAACTTGTAAAGATCAGATTAACGGCTCTTTCAAAACCAGGCCAGGGCTGTAAACTGGAAGTGAATCAAATCCAAGTCCCAGTTAGTTTTAGATGGCATCTTTCCTCAAAACTTACCCGAGAATTTTACACACTCTTCTTCCTAGCTGCCGGTCACTAACATACTGTGCAAAGCAACTTAATCTTTTCTTCAGTTTACATCTGGAGACTTCAGTATATGACATCTGTTTGGATGTCTCTCTCTCTAATCTGGTTTTGAGGTTGCCTCCATAAATATTACCTCTGCTGTATCTAGAATATTTGTAGACTGCACTGGCCCCTAACTCATGCGTCCAGAGCTACGTATTATGACAATTGCTTTCCTTTTTCTCATATCCCAGGCTCGTTAGATCAAATCAGGCTGCACCCAACAAGAGTGCATCTGTCCTTTACACGTTGATCAAAGCACAGAATGCTGTTTTAAAAAGGAAATGCCATTGAGAGTAATATGCCTTCTGTTGTCTGAAAAAAACCTGCTGATAAGGATCCTGGTGTGATTCAAAATGACAGGATGACATTACAAAGAGCCCGTGTCACCTCTACCTCCAGTTCAAAGCACCGACACTAGAGAGGAAAGAGGTTCATGTCATTGACCGTCTCCTCCTGGCCTGGCTTCTGCTGCACAAGTGTTCTGTGAAAGACCATGTCCAGTATTGATAACTGATACCGTGTGAATCATTTCCCATGGTGGTATAAAAGAAACTATTTCCAAATATTGCCTTGATCGATAGTGATACATCTCACAGCGAGGAAAGCCAGGGAGCTCTAAAGAGAGGGAGAGAGTGTGGCGGACAGCACACAGCACAGCCAAGTGCATGAGGTGGCACGCAGCAGGGCACAAAATATTATCATGGGTCCTGCCACATCATCAGCTGTTAATATCTTCCTGCTGCTCACCCTAAACTGAAATATCCATCCTTAATTTCATCCCTGTCTCCCTGATGGCTCTTGCTCAGTTCTCTCCTCCCTCCTCCTGCTGGACTCCTGTTGCTCATGGCCAGGTTCTGCTCTCAGTTCTCCCCCAATCTTGCAAAAAGCTCCTCGTGCATGGAGGCGGTGCCAGGACTTTCCTCGGGGCACAGAAGGTACTTAGCTGCAACTTGCACTGACGCCTGACTCATTGCGTAGCCACCTGCAGAGATGTGACTTTCATGTTTCCTTGTATGCAAATGTCACCAGGCTCTGGAGGATTTGTTTGCTGTCTAATCTCACGCCCTCACTTATTACTTGCGCTGCTTTCTCTGAACTATGGTTTTGTCACCGTCTTTCTGAACAGAGTGTTTAATTTATGGGCGACGGCAGTGCTTTTTACCTTCCGTATTTTTCACTCAGCTCTGCGCATGTAATCCCACAGTGCATTGCTCTTCACTGATGGCACGCTCCTCCGTTACGTAAGGACGGGCAGAAACCTGCCCTTCCCTGCCTGCCCTGTTTCCTTTTCTGTATTTCTGCTTTCTAGGTCTCCTTACCCCATTACAACTTGTGGATTTGGTCTAGTTCTGTTGCTCCAGGTGTAACCACTGGAGCCTCAATAAAAGTCAATTAGTCTCTCTGCTAAATCCTTGCCATTATTTCACTGTCCTCGTTAGTGTTCTTCTTAGTCTCATCCCGTCTGCGAATATTTTACACATACACAGCAATGTAAGATTTACTTCCCTGCTTCCAGCCCTTTGAATTACTGAATGCAGTCCTCTGCTGCTGGCTGTATGAGGAGAGAAAAGGCGAGCAATGAATCCCGATAAAGGGCAGGCAACAGTATTTGCAAATATTTGATCACAGAAAATGCCTCCCACCGCTATGCGCTAACAGCTTATTCACGCCATTGGCAAATTAACCCAGGGCACAATTTTAGAAATCAGGAAGGCTGCTCCACACAACCCCTTGGTGACCGTGGTGGGAACGCTGAACAAGATGCCCTGTGCATCGTCTCCTGCAAAAGGCCTCAGAGCGGCTCGGAGGGAGCCGTGTGGGGCACCACGGCCCAGCAAGACCCGGGGAGAGCAGCGCTGGCAGCAGGAACCCCACCACGGGCCCTGCGCAGGGCCTGGGCACCACCAGAACCAGGTGTGTGGGACTCGGGGGGTGCTGGGGCAGGAGGCCGGCCCCCTCCCAGCCACAGGGGTGGCGCCTGGTCCCGGCTCCGCTCCCCAAGGAGAGCCGTGCCCGGGGACCCCTACCCCCGCCGCCATGACAGGCTACGCGGCGCCACGAGGCCGCGCTCCCCGAAGCCGGCGGGCGGGGGGGGGGGGGGCGCCGCGGCCCCCGGGGCCCCCGCCCCCCGAGCCGGGGGGGGGGGGCGGGGCCCCGCCGCCAGCATTGACAGCCGCCCCGCCCAATCAGAGCAGCGTCCGCTGGCACTTTCCCCGCCCCTCGCTCTTCCCGCGGCTTCTCTCTGAGCGCCGCGTCGATTGGTCAGTGTAGCTTCCCGGAAGCGCGGGAGCTCGCTTCCGGCTGTTGCTAGGCGACGTGGTCCCCGGTAGCTTCCGGGTGGCGGGGTCTATTTCCGGGAGCGCGGCAGCGTTACCGGGGTGGGGGTGGCACCATCATGAGCACCATGTTCGCCGACACCCTCCTCATCGTCTTTATCTCGGTGTGCACCGCGCTGCTGGCCGAGGGTGAGTGCCGGGCCGCCGCTCCCTCAGCCGGCCGCGGGCCGGTGGGGCCTGTCCCAGCTGGGTGCTGGCGGAGCGGGGAGGGCCTTGGGGCCGGTCCTGGCCTGGGGTTCAGTTACTCAGGGCCGCCTGAGGCCTGGTGGTTGGCGGCTGGCTTAGGCAGGGTGTAGGTACCGCGAAGGATAGCAGTGAATAACTCTCAGACAAAACTGACCTCTGATGTGAAGGGGTGGGGATTGGGTTCGTTTGGTCGAGGAGGAGGAAGGCTGTGGGAGGATGGGCTAACGGTTTCCAGTGTGCCTGAAAGAGGACACTGGTGGTTTTCTGTAGCTCTTGTGGGAAGGATGTGAGAAAATTGCCTGAACTTGCAATGATGGTGACTTAGATTGGTTGCTTGAA